CACGTCTGTCAACCATCAAGACGTCTTGGCCTGAGTGATGGGGACTATTTTTTTTTCTTCATGAGGCCTGGTGAGGTAGGCAGAGGTACTCATTATGCCCAATGGGATGCATTCTTTCCAAAAAGGTGTGCGATATGAACGTCCTCTAGCAATCATTATTTTTTAAGTTAATTGAACATTGACTATGCGCTGGCTCTGGTGCGGGACTTCCCATACTAATGTAGCTCATTCAGAAGTAGGCATCATTATGCCCATTTTCACTGATGGGAAAGTTGAGGTTGGTTCAGAGAGAGTAAATCATAAGTGCAAGGTCACACGGCTGATACATGGAAGAGTCAGGAACTGTGGAAGCATGACAGGTAAGTGCAGCCATCGCTGAGACACGCCTTCAGGATTGGGGGGGACTGGGGTGGGGGCTGGAATATTGTGCGGCTCTGCAGTTGTTCGGTGACGTGAGCAGGCATAAGGGTTCCTGGGAGAGGCAGGCCCCCCGAGCAGTTAGGTGCTGTCTGTGGGCAATGCCCGGCTCTCCGAATCCTCTCCTGCCCCTCCCTTCACTGGGCGGTTGGCAGGAAGGTGGGCCCATCAGCATGGATAGTATGGTCCTGATTCCTGCCCATCCTCCCATCATTGTCAGTGCTGCTCAGGTGAATCCACGTAACCCTTTTCAAGGCGCTGAAGGCAACGCTGCCTGACAGAAAGCGGGGAGCAGAGAGGAGAGGTCCCCTAGCCTGGTCCGCGCTCTGACCGCGTCCCATGCAGTCAGTGGCAAGGTGAGCGGGAGGAGCCATCGAGTCTAGAAACACTAGGAGTTAACAGCGTAGATACGGCGTTAAGTAACTGTGGGCTCTACCTGGAGTCCCTGGGTCATGGGGACTACAGGCAGGTAAACGTTGACCCAAGAAAAAAGCTGAGGGAAATGGGGGAAAAGTATTGCTTATGATTTCATGGCACATCTGACACCATCTCCAAAAAATTGGCACTTAGCATCCTTTCCTTTCTTTCTTCTTTTTTTTTGTTTTGTTAATCCTCACCTGAGGATATTTTTCCATTGATTTTTTTCAGAGAGAGTGGAAGGGAGGGGGAGAGACAGAGACAGAGAAATATTGATGTGAGAAAGACACATCGATTAGTTGTCTCCCGCATCCACCCTGACCCGGACCGGGGATCAAGCCTGCAACCGAGGTATGTGCCCTTAACTGGAATCGACCCCAGGACCCTTCAGTCCACAGGCCAATGCTCTCTCTACCCACTGAGCCAAACTGGCTAGGCCCTAGCTAGCCGCAGCATCCTTTTTGTCCAAACAGACTGCTTTGCCCTGGGGGTGGCCAGGAATGGAGAGGACCCCCTCTGATGTCACAGTGAGTTTCAGGGGTGAAACGGGAGCTTCTGGCCTTTATTCTGTGCTGGGCCCTTTGTGGACCCCGTGGTTATTTCATTCACCCCTCCTGGCCACCCTCTGGGAAGCCCGATAGGACCCATATTTTACTAAGCTGAACGCTGAGGCTCACAGGTTTAGTGTGATGTTCAGCAGGGAGCTGGGGTTCACTTATTTCTGATTCCTGTCAAGGGGTGTCTTTTCCACGTGGCTGCGGGAGCCTCACACAGAAGAGAGGGTTTGGGCGTGGAGCCCCCTTTAGAAAATGTATGAAAATGTGTTGCTCAGCAAGTTGCCATCAAATTTAGATGAATCCTGTTATTCATACAAGTGGTGCCTACTTTCTAACTCCAGTCCACGAGCTACTTCCTAAATGTCCCGGTTGGAAGGTGAACCTACCACCCTGAGATTTTGGTCCACAGGTGGCACTTATTCTGGGGGGAAAAGGAAACACACAGGAGAACTCGACCTGCCCCCAAGGAGAACGGGGCAGGTGCTGGCTTGCCACGCAAGGGAGGCGGGTTTAGTGCCTTGGAAATTAGCTCCAAGTTGCCACCCAAACGCTGGGGGTGGGCACAGGGGCCCAAGCCAGGTGTCCACTCCCTCAGGCTGAGAGGTGACATGATGGATGAGACAGGCTGGCGTGGCCATCCCTCCAGGCTGCCCTGGCCTTTCTCAAATGACCCCACCTCGCAGTTCTCCCTAATTCAGTGACTCTCAAACTGCAGCCCATAGACGTAGTCTTGGAAAGCCATTAAGTCCCAAACAAGCTTAGAAAGATCATATCTTATTTTAAGAATATCAAAAAGAATTCTTTAACCAGACATCTAAACACATCTTCTCTGTTGCAATAACAACTTGCTTCGTTGTCGAAGAAGCCTTCCATTTTGCCTCGACGCACAGTGGGGTCCGAGATAAATTCTCCATAATCTATGAATTATTTTTTTCCTTTAAAATGAGTCCATGCACAGTTGGAGTCTGAGAAACCAAACCCTCACGTAAAATTATACTCCCAAGCCCCAGAGATCAGAAATGGTGAACAAATTACAGGGAGAGACCCCGGGAGCCCAGTCCAGGCCTGCAGGCGGGGGGACCACGGGGACGGGAGAAAATTGTTTGCCTCCGCTCTCCCATCTGGAAGATGGAGGTCATGACTCCTCGTCTCGCTGCCTTGCAAATGCAGCTGTGAAAATCTCGCGAGAAGATGCCTGCACAAGGAGGTGGAGGCAGTACAGAAGCCAGAGGTGTTCCGGATTCACATGCTTTTCCGATCCGCTGTGAGCTGGGGAGGCTCGGCGTGTCAGTGCTCAGGCATTCAGAGCACAGCCTCCCTGGGTTCGAATCCTGCCTCTGCCACTGACTGTTTGCGTGAGCATCGGGCTCTCCCCGTGAGGCAGGGATAATACGAACAGTATGCGACCCTATAGGGCTGCTGTCAGAATTCAAGGGGAAGCACTTCGGATAGAACCCAGGCAAAAAGCACACGCCGGGAGGGGCGGCTGTTCTTGCTGTAACCAGTGACGGTGCCGCGGTCTGGGCTGAGTGACAGGGCTGGGGAAAGTCACGTGGGCCTCCATGTCCCCATCTTTACAGCTGGGGCCTAGCACGTCCTTCAGAGAGTGGGGCGAGAAAGAAAGAACCGCACTCCTCCCAAGTTGGCGCCCATGAAATGCCACAGCGCCCCTTTCCCCCTGCCCCTCTCTCGTCGAATCTGTCTGGACCTGTATTTCCTCGCTTGTTAAAGGCGGGGAAAAACACCTGCCCCGCTAGGTGGAGGCGTGATGGGATGAGGTAATCTCGCCAGGGCCCTGAGCACCTGGGATGGCCGTAGGGGCTAGGGCCGTGGTCGGCAAACTGCAGCCCCTTGAGTGTGGCTCTTCCACAAAATACCTCGTGCGGGCGCGCACGTACAGTGCGATTGAAACTTCGTGGCCACACTCAAGGGGCCAAAGAGCCACATGTGGCTCGTGAGCCGCAGTTTGCCGACCAATGGGCTAGGGCACATCCATCCATCCTTCCTCCCGGCTCTCCAAGTGGGTCCAGTGAACTGCTGGGCAGAAGCAAACACCGCTTGGCCAGTCCACCCACAGAGAACAGGAATTTCAGGGAGGCCAGCCTCCCTGACTCCTAGGAGAGGGCCTGGCTTAGGGGGGAGGTTGGGGGAGTGTAGCCAGAGTGGGTCACCCTCTGGGCCAAGGAATTTAATTCTCTGGAGGGTGTGCCAGATGAAAACAGCTGGGCTGACCTGGGGCAGACCTGCTGGGTTGGGAGAGCTGGTGGGGGCAGCGGCCGGGGGTCATCTGTCTTTAGTCGCAGCAGACAATGACCTCCGGGCCTCCTGAGCAGTGGGACCGGGGACAGGGAGGGACGTCCCTTGCTCCTTCTGCTTTCTCTCACGCGGCTTCTAAGGAAATTCCACGGCATTGTATTTACAAGGCATCCCCGACTGTCAGCTTCCTTGAACACAATGTATTTAATAAAAAGCCATTAAGCCTTGTAAAGCTGTCAGAAATCTAAATGACACTTGTAATAAAATCTTGTCGGTGACCTGTTCCGGTTAATCAGGTCCAGTGACATCATCACCCACGGATCCGTCTGATACCCAGGGTGCGAGGTATATTTAGACAGCTTTATGATCCACGCGGATTTGAGTTATTAAAATTGTACAGTTTTGCAAGGAATTGGGGATTTAATAAAGCAGCGGAGAAACTACAAAAGGAGCAATAACCTTCCACAAAGCCGATCCTCTTGCAGGCGAAGGGCGTGTGCTCGGGCGAGTCCCGGGGCAGCTCCGATGCCAGGCGCTCACGCGGGCGATTTTATGTCTCTGTAATGTGCATGTCTGGCATCTGCAAAGCTAGCAAATATATTGCATCGTGCCCAATGACTTCAAGGTGGTGAATTACGCCTGCATGTAAAGATTTACGGGTTTATTCAGGTTACTACGAGAAGATATTACCATCAAGTGCTCATTGGCTTGAACGAGCCTCTTTGGAGCAAATATAACCACTAGATTGTAAATATCCTTGGCCCTGCTCACCTCCTGCGTAGTTTCCGGGGCTCCAGTCTTTTTAAGGCATAACGTTACTTAATCTTGAACTACAAAAGCCAGGCCTCATGTAACAATCAGGATGAGACAGACAGACAGACACGGACAAGGGATAGCCATTTGCTCAATAATCTATAAATTTAGACTAATGGAGCAGATATCAAAAAAATGCGGTGGGCTCAGGTAAATCAATCACACCTGGCCTCCTGGCATAAGCTGGCACAGCGTTCCCGAGATTTCAGTCAAATTATTCCATTTGTTTCTGAAGATATTTTAATCCCACATGACCTCAAACTTCCCGTGAACCAGGGCCTGGACCCAAGGCCGCCCACGGCCTTTGCAATAAATCCGTTGTCTCCCTTCTCGGCCCTCAACCCAGGCCCATAGATCACCTCTCCCTGCATCTTGCTTCAATTACTCAATTAACTGCAGTAAAGTTCTTGTAGGTTTTGCAGATGTTGCTTTATTATCAAGGCCTCAGACGAACAGGAGAGTTCAGGAGCCGAGGTTATAGGAAGGTTGGTGGGGGAAGGGCTGGGATGGGGCACAGAGGATATTCCCAGCAACCTTTAGGGTTGCAGCCCCCGAGAGGGGCATGGCTCCCCCCATGCCCCTCCCCGGTGCTGTTCAATGCCCTTCGCCTCTCGGGGAATTTGTGATGTTATCTCACTGAGAAACTGCTTGAGAGAAGTAGGTATTCCACCTTCCGATGAGATAATGCTGTGATTAACAGATGCTTAATTGGGCCATTTATCACCAACAGGACCTGCCTCCAAGTCGTGGGCCAAGTAAATTATTGCCCACCCTGCAGGTGTTGGACTGGCAGATCTATTACTCTTCACGGAACGGTCTTCAGAAGATTTTATATGAAAAGATGATTTATTTCCCAAAGGAATTCAATTGTGCTCTTATTTATCCAGAATGTAGCAGGGGTCCGCCCGGCCCCTCTTCTCCGTGCACAAAGGGGAATTGTTGAAAACCAGAATCGCAGACAGGGTCAGAGCCAGAAGGACACAGAAACCAGCGAGCGGATGCGGCCACTTTACAGATGGCAGCGCCGAGGCTGGAGCACACCGTGCCAAATCATGCAGACACTTTCCCAGTCGGCAAAGGTATTTCCCTCCTTTTTTAAAAAAAGATTGTGGCTTGTCCAGATCAGTGATGGCGAACCTATGACACGCGTGTCAGAGGTGACACGCGAACTCATTTTTTTGGTTGATTTTTCTTTGTTACATGGCATTTAAATATATAAAATAAATATCAAAAATATAAGTCTTTGTTTTACTATGGTTGCAAAGATCAAAAAATTTCTATATGTGACACGGCACCAGAGTTAAGTTAGGGTTTTTCAAAATGCTGACACGCGGAGCTCAAAAGGTTCGCCATCGCTGGTCCAGATGATGTAACAGAATGCGTAAAAATTCGGAACAAGGCATTGTTGTGCTTTAAAGTAGCGTTTCTCACCCTTTGCCATTGTTGACGTGTTGGGCTGGATCAGTTTGCTCTGGGGCCTGCCCTGTACATTGTGGGAAGGTTAGCAGCATCCGGGCCTCCACCCACTCGGTGCCAGTGGCACCCCGGCTCCCCCACAGTCCCCGAGTTCAGGCAACCCAAACTGTCTCCAGACATTGCACATGTCCCCTGGGAGGCAAAATTGTCCCCAGTTGAGAACCACTGCTTTAAAGTATTGTCATCATCGTCCTGAGATTAATAATATAAATTACGGCAGCTGACTTTTATTAAGTGCAAGAAATGGCTAGATACTTTATATACTTTCTCTCATTTAATCCTCACAATAACTCGATTATGTGGATATTTGTTATGACTTCGTTTTATAGGCGAGAAAGTCTAGGCTGAGGGAGGTTAAGGTTTGCCCAAGTTCACGAAGCTAGTGAGTGCCAGGGGTGGGCTGCAAACCCGGGGCTGCTATCCATACCACCAAAGGAAGGGGGAGACGGGTGGATCTGGATCTGTTATGAGGTGCCAGAACTGTACAACTTCGTTTCCATTGTTCCTAGTAATGAACTCGCGTTAAGAGTCTGTAGGGATAAAAGGGAAAACAAAAGCTCCATGTGGCTGGTCCATGGGATGTACTGGTTTCTCTGCAGATCATAGAGTCACGTCTGCCTGGCGTCCAGCGGAAGCACAGGCAGGGCAGGTCCCCCTTGTGGATGAAAGCACTCAGGATGGTGAGTACACAACAGAATTAGGGACAACTCAACATTTCACTGAGCAGATATGTCTTCCAAAGATGCTTAGCCCAGCCTTCTTCATGGGCTGATTGCTACCCCAGACCTGGGAGCTATCGCATACCTGGGCTAGGAGAATCCCAGGTGAGAGATGACAGAGGCTGTGGCTATAAGGTAGAGTAATTTCGTGCCAGGAAATAAATTCACTGTAAAATAGTGACCCGAGGCAAGACGCCGACACGTGGGGGATTAGTGACATAGGGTCGCAAGTGCCTCCAGAAAGCTCTGGGCAAGGGGCTTGGGGGCGAATAAAAGAACGTCTTTACATGAGCGTAATTAAAGTCCACCTCTCCATCCCTGGGCATTTTAATATCAGAATCGCCCCACTGTAGCAACTGCTCCAAATTTTATGGCCGAATTTTTGGATTAATTTCATTTTAGCACGTCTATCCTCCCTTCATCATTTGCATATATATATGCAAATACTCTATATGTAAGAGTAACTCATGCCAAATCCTCCTTAGAGAGGCAGGTATAAATGAGAAACCTGTGGCAATATAACAGCTGGAATGGCCAGGTTTCTCTATGGAGTATAGAGGATTGGTAATCACGATGGAATTTCCCCTTTTTTGAAAAAGAAAAACCACTTTACCGACCTTCACACCAGCATCTCCAAAGGCCGCGGGCGCTGTTTGCATGCTGCTGTCAGAGTGAGCAGAAGCCACGCGGAGACACCCCGGGCCAGATGCTCACCCCTGGGCAGGCGGGGCCGCGAGGCCATTTACTTCCTTACGTCCACCTGTTTTGTGTTTTTCCTTCCAACAGGACTCCCTGTCTGTCAGGCGAGGCTGTGCGGAAAAATGCGCCGACTCTGAAGCACGTTTCCAAACTCAGGCTCTGTCTTCCATTCTCATCTAATCATTGGCTGTAATTTTCTGTCCAAGAAATAAGCAAAGAAGATGTGCGGGGAAAGTGGGTTCTGGACTGAAGGGAGGCAGTGGTCAACAGTGAGTACAAATGTGTGTGTGTGTGTGTGTGTGTGTGTGTGTGAGAGAGAGAGAGAGAGAGAGAGAGAGAGAGAGAGAGAGAGAATCTTATTTAAGACCATGGTTTCTGCCCGGGGGAACGTATTCCTCATCCCATGGAGAAGGGTGCTGGCGTGTGTGCCGTGGTAACACGCGGAGAGCGCCCCTACCTTACCCATGACTATCCTGAGAACCTCATAAGGTATTCAGTCCCCAAGGAAGCCGAAGATAGTTCAAGCTAAGTCACAGCGGTTCTCAACCTGTGGGTCGCGACCCCTTTGGCGGTTGAACGACCCTTTCACAGGGGTTGCCTAAGACCATCCTGCATATCAGATATTTACATTACGATTCATAACAGTAGCAACATTTATGAAGTAGCAACGAAAATAAATGTATGGTTGGGTCACAACATGAGGAACTGTATTTAAAGGGCCAGAAGGTTGAGAACCACTGAGCTAAGAGATATTAAATAAAGACTTGTTCAAGGTCATTTGGTCAGCAAGTGACCAAGTTTAGATTTGAGCCTTAACCTGTCGGACCCCAAACGCAGCCTTTCTCCATTTTTTACCACTAGATGAAGCAATCCCGAACCTTCTAGGGGCCAGGCCCTGTCCCTGGTACCATGGACGTGGAGAAAAGGCATTCCCCATGGGGCTGTATGGGAGGCCTGTGGCCCTTTCCCCGGCATCTGGGGACATGGGTGAGGATCCTCCTGGACAGCCCTTCCTTGTAGCTGCCCCGAGGCGGGCAGGGTTTTCTCTACCCTTTTCTTTTTTTCAATATATTTTTATTGATATCAGAGAGGAAGGAAGAGGGAGAGAGAGATAGAAACATCGATGAGAGAGAATTATTGATTGGCTGTCTCCTGCACACCCCTTACTGGGGACTGAGCCCACAACCCGGGCATGTGCCCTTGAGTGGAATCAAACCTGGGACCCTTGAGTCCACAGGTTTGAATTATTAATTTATAAAATCTCATTAATTTATATTATTAATCTCACTGATGCTCTACCCACTGAGTCAGATCAGCTAGGGTTGCCCTTTTTTTCATCGGTGCTATTACCCTCATTTGTCTCTGCAACATGGGGTCTGGCCCTGGTCTCTGGCCTGGCAGCGGCTCGCTGCCCCTCGCAGCCCCTCACTGCCCCACTCCAGGCCGCCTTCGCCTGTGTAAATGCCGCTGGCGGGCTGTGGATTGCTCCAGGCCTCAGTTGTGATGGGTGTGGAAGGACCTGCTAAGTTGCTCCCGACAACTGTGCGACTTGTTCCATCTCCGGGCCCAGCCTGAGGCCACCGGCTCATAACACACCTTCCCACCCACAGGGCGAGGAGAGAAAGGCAATCATGTCAGATCCTGAGAGGTGAAAACTGCCTGCTTGCTCCCCCTCCTCACTGCCCCCCCACCTTTTCTGGCCTCCCCTGAGGTGACCATGGTTTCAGGTTTGGGAGGGCCACTCTGGTGGCTGAGCTACCTGGGGGCGGGGGGGGGGGGGGGGAGGAGAGGAGGGGGCGTGTAGGTGATGGTGACTCTTCCCAAAGGAGGCTAGAGTCTAAAACTGCCCCCTTGGGGAGAGGGCGGGTGTTTTATTTTAAGGGAATTTTGTGGGCTTGGGCTGTGGTTACAATCCCGCTGGAACACAACCTGAGTTTATTGGGAGAAAAGCTGTAATGGGGGCTGAGGCTCACGTGATTTGGGGGGGTCTCCTTTGAGCAGACAGCAAGCAGACCCACTCCCTCTTTGCACATCCTGGGCTTCAGGGTAGACTTGATACCTGGGCCCCAGCAACGGTGGTGGTCACGCTCATTCATTCATTCATTCATTCATCCATCACCAAATCCTTCCCCAGCGCCTGCTGCCCGAGCCCCGGGCGCTGGGCTGGGCTGGGCCAGGGCGGGCACTGCCCTCGTGAGGTGTCTGACTGTGGCTGCTGACATGAGCGTGAATCAGATATTCCCACAGCTCAGTGTCTGCGGGGGAACTGGGACGAGGCCATGAAGGACAAGGAAAGGTGCCGTGGGATGAGGCGGGACCCCGTTTGGGTTGGGCAGCGAGGTGGTGGCCTCTCTGACGAAGGGAGCCGAGTTCCCCGGGCCTCGAGTGGGGGTATGTGGTTAGGAGGAAGGAAGAACAGCGAGTGAGAAGGAGTAGGAACGGGACAGAATCTGTTTCATTTGAGGGTCGGGAGGGAGGCCGGAGTGAAGGCAAGGCTGGCTCCCCAAGGCAAAGCACGTGGAACATTCTGGAACTTCAAGATGGCCAAGGCCAGCGGGAGGTGGCCTCCCCTCAGTGCTTCCCTCTGTGGCAGTGGCTCCACCCCAGACGCTTGGGCTCACTCCCTCTCCACCAATCCTGCTCTTGACATGATCTCAGGACATTGGCTTAAATTTTTAAAAAAGAGAAAAAAGTGAAGGCTCCTACTATGTAGCTGTGAGGGCAGGGTGAGCAGGGTGTGGCCTGTGTCCCCGGTGCTCACAGAGCCCTTCAGCTGCCCCGACAGAACCGTCTGCAAGACCCAGAGACCAGGGCCCGAGAGGGGACACTGGGAATTCAGACACACCACCTGGCCGCCCCGGGGAGGTGGGGGTGGCGGGGGCGGGGGGTCTTCCCGAAGGACGAGGGTTTCTGCAGGTCAACCTGGTGGAAGGCAGAGGGAACCCCCAGAGGCAAGTCCCTGTCCTTCTCCAGGGAGCTCTGCTTCTCAGGCCTGAAGGGAGTCAGAGCAGGAGGAGTGTCCTGAGGACCCAGCTCCTTAGCGGAGCCCTTGCTCCTGGGCCAGGCGGCGGTTCCCCTCTGGCTGGTATTTCCCCCCACTGGGGAGCAGCCTGTGATTCCACAGAGGAAGGGAGAGGGAGAGAGAGAGAAACATCAATGATGAGAATCACTGATCTGCTGCCTCCTACATGCTCTCCACTGGGGATCAAGCCCACAACTTGGGCCTGTGCCCTGACCGGGAATAGAACCGTGACCGCCTGGTTCCTAGGTCGATGCTCAACCCCTGAGCCATGCCGGCCAGGCTAGAGCAGACAGACAAGCAGATCACTCTGTCTGTGCCTCAGTTATCATATTATAAGCCCATCAATCCCCGCTTTGCCCTGTGGGACCAAAAATGGGAACCCCCGGGTTACACCAGCAGCTCAGTGGATTGAACTGCAGCTAGACACAGGCACGGAGCTCCATTGACAGCTGACAATCCCGAATGCGGCTTCCCCAGGGTCCTGCCTGTCCCGATGGGGGACTGAGGCTAGGAGGTCAATCCCTGGCCTTTCACGCAGCTCCTAGAGGACTTTGACCTCTCAGGCTCCGTGCTGGCCGAGGACGTATCTCCTAGGATTTCCCTTGTGCCATGAGCAGCCACTGAAGCAGTGTGTCCTCCAGGTCCTCGAGCCCCATTTCACGGATGGGAAAACCATCACTGGAGGGCAGGGGTGGGGAGGGGAGGGGTTTGGGAAAGAACCCAGCCCCAGAGGGAGCTGGCGGCGGACGAATCCTGAATCCTCGGTGGCGGGCGCAGGCAGCGCTTCCACTCGGCTGCCTCAGCCGCACTCCGCAAGCCCAGCTGATAATTGCTCATTATGTGCTTAATCTGGGCACAGCCGGGCCTGGCAGCGGAATTAGATCACATCAAAGCGAGCACTTCAAAGGGGCAGAAAGCTGGCCGCGGGGTAATTAGCAGAGGGCCTTTCTCTCCTGCCTGGGACAGTTGGAGGGGTTTCGGGCAAGGTCCAAATGGTACCAAGTGATGCTCAGAGTTGTCAACTCTACTGAACTTGGACAGGCAAGGCCCATGACTCCCTGTGTGTGTGTGTGTGTGTGTGTGTGTGAGAGAGAGAGAGAGAGAGATAAACTGTTCAGGCCCTCTACTGCCTGCCTGGCCCAGATGCCCTGGTCAACTGATGTCCCCAGCTTCCCTGGAACCCCGTGTACCCTCTCTTTAGACTGCCGTGTTCTTCTGGCAGGAGGTGGAAGAAAACATACACACACGTGCTCATCACCATCGGGACCCAGAAATCAGAGCTTGTGCATAAAGATGCTGGGCCCTATGTCACCATGACTCAGTTTCCCTAGTTGCCTATACAGAGGTCCCTTAGGTGTCAGCCCTGGCTTGGAAAGTATTGGTTTCACCCATCGAAGTGGAAATGAGGGGTGGGGGGCTGTGGCAACAGACCTGAGAAAGTCAAAGGACCGGCTTGGTTGCTTAGCGAGACCCGCTTCTCCCTCGCCCGTTGGAGGGGACAGGCAAGGTGATGTTATGTCTCGAATCCCATTTGCAGGCGCCTCTCACCCAGCCAGGTATCCCACCAGCATGGCGTGGATGTGCAGAAAGTGCTAAGAGACGTTATAATGGAGTCTGGTGCCACTTCTCGATGGCCTGTGGGGCACTCAGGCTAACAGGCCTGAACGGGGTTGATATATGAGAAGAAACGGTGCTGAACTAGCCAGCGGGGGACGGAAACCCTTTGCGCCTCTGGCCGGGCGAGCGCGGATTCAAGGACTGCTTGGTGCAGGTGAAAGCACATGGTTCCTCATTCCTGCTGTAATAAAAACGACAAAGTTTCACTGGCTTGAGAGTTTGGAAAAGGATTAATCTTACCCATCTCTTAACCATATTTAAGTAACAGGTATCTTAAGTAATAAGGTTACTAAAGTGGCAGACTCACCCTTCCCCGCCCGGCCCCCATTGGCTCAGTGGTTGAGCATCGACCTACGAACCAGGAGGTCACGGTTCAATTCCCAATCAGGGCACATGCCTAGGTTGTAGGTTTGATCCCAGTCGGGGGCATGCAGGAGGCAGCTGATCAATGATTCTCGCTCATCATTGATGTTTCTGTCTCTCCCTCCCTCTCCCTCCTCTCTCTGAAATCCATAAAAACATATTTTTTTAAAAAAATAAAGTGGCAGAACTCTGAGCCAGATAAGGAAGGCATGCTCAGATATTGAACAAAATCCATCAGACAGGGGAGGAGGGGATCACGGTAAACAGGGCATTGTTTTCAATGGAAATAAACCATCTCCCGTTGATCCTTGAACAACACGGGCTTGAACTGAGTTTGAACTGCACGAGTCCACTTATATGCGGATGTTTTTCAACTGACCCATGCAGTTCAATTAGCCGCAGTTCAAGAGTCAAATGAAAATTGAAAGCCACGTATGTGGGGGCCTGGTAAGTTATAAGAGAAATCTTTACTCTGCAATTGGTCGGCACCCTAACCCCGTTATACTAGTAGTTGCTGATAAAGCAGACTTTGGTCTAATATTGTCTTTATAACTTCTGGGCATGGAACTTTCTTGTATCAGTGATATTGCCGATATTGGGAAATCAATGATTTAGTCTCTACCACTTCAAGAGTTGGTAGAGAGTGGGCATTAATACACCCTCAAAAGGGGTTCTTGCGCCCAGGAACAAACCCAGACACTGTTGCTTCTGAAATGATTTAATTCAAGGCTAACTCTAATGTCCTCTTAGGAACCTCTGCCCCTGGTTTCAGGCTCTCTGTCCTACAATTGTCTCTGTCCTCACATGCCCTGTCCACCTTTCATGATTCGAGAGCCCGTGCTGAAGACATGGGCCTCTAAAATGATCTCACAGTGTACCCACCGCCTTCTGATCCTCAGGTGTGAATATACCACATACCTGCTCAGTGATCCCTCGGTCTGTACGTTAACTCTGTCGGAAACCACAAAGGGCACTTCTGGGGATGGAGTGGCCTCATGGACCAAGGAGACATTAGACCAGGGTTTGAGCCTGTCACTGACCAGCTGGCTGCACTTGGGCAGGTCAGCCTCAATGTCTCCAGAATGGGTATGGGGTAGAATATGTGGCTGAGTTTAGTATGAAGCTATCTGGTCTGAGGATGTTCCCATGACCCTTTGCCTCCCCCACATAGGGACACTGAGGTGTTTGTCTACATGCCTTTCTCCCTCTTCAGCTCAGCTCCTAAGGACAAGATCTTCTGTGTCTTGGAGCAAAGTGTCTGGCACACAGTAGGTGCTCAATAAATGCTTAGCAAACAAAGGAGTACCTACTGGCCTACCTTGAAGAGTGGAAGCATACACGGATTAATGGGTACAGTCAGGACTGAGTAAATAATCTGGGCCCAGCGGAAAATAAAAATGTGGGGCTGCTTGTTCAAAAACTATCAAGAATTTGAAGACAGAAACGACAGAGCACAGAGACAAGTGCAGGGCCCTTCTGAGCACGGGCCCTGTGCACCAGCATGGCTGGCTCACGTGCTCATAAAACTGCCCCGACGCCGTGAACTTTCTCATGAGCGGTGCGTATCAGTCTGCTCGGGCTGCCACCGCGGAGTCCCAGGACTGTGCACCTTCAACAACGAAATGGATGTTCTCACAGTTCTGAAGGTCTGAGGCCCAAGCTCACCTGTCTTCGGAGGCCTCTCTCGTTGGCTTGCAGCTGGCCATCTTCTCCCCGTGTCTTCACGTCCTCTTCCCTCCATGTCTGTGTCCTCACCTAACAAGGACGCCAGTAAGAACAGCTTAGGGCTGGTTTTAATGACTTCCTTTTAACTTGATGACCTCTTTAGAGACCCTGTCTACAGGTAGGACCATTTTCTAAAGGACTTGGGGTTAGGACTTCCATATATGGAACTTGGGGAGACACAAGTCAGTCCATAATAAGCACCATCAAATATCGATGCTGTGAAGGTCATCATTTTGAGCTTGGCTCCAACCACATGTACTGCAGCCCTACCCTGTAAAGATCTGTGTGATGCCCCGTATTTGCTGATTACAAAGAAAAGGCTAACGAAGGAAAGCCCACCATGTACCCTGCCATCCGGGGGTTAATGCTTTGAGGTACATTCTTTCTGCCTGTTTTCAACATGTGCACATCTTGATGGTACCAACTGAGATGGTACCATTTGGCACCTTCCTTTTTTTAGTTAATCACGTCTCCCTCTCCCACCCCACTGAATCCGCGGAATCAGCTTTTGGCATTTTCACGGCGGCATATGAGCTTCCAAATGCATCCTCAGTTCTCAGATGCTGAAGTCACATCCCAAGATAGGCTGGTCTCTCTTCAGCCTGGGCGACCCCTCCCAGGAGGCCACCCCTGAAGACACCTCGGGGTGCACAGAGCACAGGATGACGAGCCCACCCGACTCTGCCAGCCAGGGCATTTCCTGACGTGTGATTGGGTCAGAACGTGGAGCAGAAGGGAGAGTGTGAAGAATAGGATCATGGCTTCAAGGGGTGGGGGGGTGTCTCCATCTGTCCTCCGTGGTTTCAGAGCTAATTATTGTGGATGTGATGGCTCAGCACTCATTCCTCATATAGTTCCCTCAAGAAAGAACCATTTAGTCCACCAATTACTTTGTCTCTTTTTAGGGACACTTTCCTTAATTGCAAAGGAATCTAAAAATACAATTGGCGGACTTGATGTGGGCAGTATCTTGTTTAGAAAGTTAGGCTGGGAGAAAAATGCAATTAAATTGTCAAAATAGAATTGTTTCTCAGATTTAATTTAAAGTGGCTCATTCCTGTTTACTTTTCCTGGTTTTGGAGTTAAAAGCAAAGAAAGTTACCAGGACAACTGCGAGTTACGGGAGGAAGACATTAGGCTCTGAGCGGGGGCTGCTGCTCTTAAGTCACTTTGGTTTAAGTAACACAATCTGATGCTCAATTTCTGAGGTACCTGAAGCAAAGAATTAGCCAGTTTGGGGCACCGTGGGCCATTTTTATTAAAGAAATACACTCTGAACTAAGTCCCCCCATCCAAACAGTTCCACTCCCCTAAAGGGCCCAGCACACATCCTCTCAGGTGTGCAAGAGCAACATGGACTGTTGCACGTACAAATATTAGTGATGAGAACACCCAATCCCATCCAAAGAGCAAGGTGTGTGTGTGTTTGTGTGTGAAACGTGGGTTTCTGTTGCGTTTGGGTGGCTCTTGGCTTCTTTATATGTAGAATTGAAGGCTCTTCAAAACAGAATGAGCCAGGTGAAAAGTGACCCTTCCACACTGGGTGGTTATGGAAATGCCACTGATTCTGCAAACGTGTATGAACCACTGATTTGGAGCGTGGGCTGGGCTCCTGGGAGCTGTAGGCTGATGTAGCGTGGTTTCTCTCCTCAAGGAGCTCAGGCACATCAGGGAGACAGATCATTTTGATGGCATGTCCTCAGCATGGAGACAGAGGTAGCGAAGAATAGCCGAGAAGCCACTAAAGAGGGAGGAACCCCCCGGGTGGCTGCACAGATCTGCTAGGCCTGTGGCCAGCAAACTGCGGCTCGCGAGCCACATGCGGCTCTTTGGCCCCTTGAGTGTGGCTCTTCCTAAGCCTTAGGAGTACCCTAATTAAGTTAATAACAATGTACCTGCCTATATAGTTTGAATTTAAAAAATTTGCCTCTCAAAAGAAATTTCAATTGTTGTACTGTTGATATTTGGCTCTGTTGACTAATGAGTTTGCCGACCACTGTGCTAGGCCGAGGCAGGACAGCACAATTCAATTCAGCAAATATGCAGTTGTCTCCTGTGCTCGGGCACAATCCAGACAGAGGCTCAGACAGAGCCTGCGCTCTGAAAGCTGTGGCCAATGAAGGAGATGAAATGAAAATTAAAAAGTGAGCACGGGGTGGTAGGTGCTCCAGAAACGTTTGGCAAAAAATGAATGAAATAAAATGTAAAATAGATGAATACTGAACGCTGCAAAGAGCGCCAAGATGGTTAAGACATGGCCATGGTTCCTGTCCTTGGAGGACGAAGGGAGTAAGGACCGGTGGGGAGAGAGGCTGTATTCCTTTATCAAACCATTTTTTTTTATAGCATTTTCCTTTCAATTTAAAAAGAAATAACGCATGCTTAGCAGGACATAGGATCACGTAGTATTCCTGCCAAAAATGCATAACCTGAATCTAATCATAAAAAAACACCAGACAAACTCAAATTGAGGGACATTCTACAAAAAATAACTGGCACATAATCTTAAAATTGTTGAGGCCAAGAAAAAGGCTAAGGAACTGTTCCAGATTAAAGCAAACTACAAATGAATTTTCTGATTTTGGCAAGTATTCATTCACGTATTTAGGGATAAGGAGGTTCAATGGGAGAGGGAGAGAGAGAGAGAGGAAGGGAGGGGATGTCAGACGAGCAAATGGGGTCAAATGTAATCATTCAGGGAATCTGTGTACAGGCTTTCTGGAAGTTTCCTGTACTGTTCCTGCAACTTTTCTGTAAGTTTAAATCAACATATAAAAAGTAAAACAAAACAAAACTAATTTTAGAAATTGCCTCTTACAGCTGTGTGACCTTGAGCAGGCACCCGAACCTCTCTGTGCCTCGATTCCTATCTTTAAAATGGGAACAGAATAGTGCCAGCTCCACCAGATGATGGTGACGACTGAGAACATCACATGCGTTTGAGGCGTATCGCAGAGTGGCTAGCCCGTCATCAGTGGTTAGCGAGGATACTTGTTGTGGCCTTCGGTATTATCGGTGATATTTGCACAGGTAACAGATCACATTGCTCTTGCACACCTGAGGTCATGCGTGCTGGGCCCTTTAAGTGAGTAGAACTGTTTGGATGGACACGCACACTACGCAGCAGGCATCACTTACATCATTTACACGCACACACAGCCTTTGTAGGCCAACTCCCCGGTTCTCCGGGCCCGGGGTTGAGCCACGCT